ATTTGTAGAAGTCTCTCCAAATTGTTCCTCTAACCACTTATCCATCGTCATGCCACCTAGTATAAATCGAAATTTACTTCGATTTATTTACGAAATTTAGCTAGTATAAAACGAAACATTTTAGCCTTTTTAAGTTATGTCTGTGACATTCTTGCTGCAACAGAAAACACCGCTGACAGCGCTGAGCCCCAACTAAAATATCACCGCAGTGGAGCCGATTGAAATGAGACAAATATAAATGCATGCACAATAAACGGAGATGTTCAAATACATTTAAATAAACAACAATAAATAAAGTATCTCTTGTGAGGCAGCATTTTAGCAACTAAATTAATAACTAGATTAAAGACCTAACTGTTATCTATCAAAATATGTGCCTTTGTGTTTTTTATTTTTTTATTTTAGATTTGTATTTTGCTGAGAGATAAGCTATGCCTATTTGTGTTAGGACATTTCACAAATTTTGTGTTGTAAAAAATAAAAAGAATGAGACAAAGTTTGAGAATGGTTTGTTGTTTTTATTTGAGCTTTCGTGCATATTACACATTGGAACGTTGTTGTTCACAGTCAGGGAGGGACTATTTTCTAGCGGAAGGAATGTTTTTATTGATTAATCTAGATGAAAGTTGCACTAATACATTGTTTTTTATTTTAATATTGTGTGGGAACCGTTTTATAAAAGCAATAAGGTACTCGAGGCAAGTGCTGTATCGTGAATAAGTAACGGCTGATGGGGTTGCAGGCACTCCGGTTCGCGTCGTGCCTAACAACGCCCTTCAGCCGTTACTTATTCACGATACAGCACAGCCTCTCGTACCTTATTGCTTACATATACTTAAAGGGATAGTTCACCCAAAAATGAATTATATATATATATATTTTTTTTTTTTTTTTGTTTCTAACACAAATGCATTGCTTCGCTTCAGAAGGAATTTATTAACCCCCTGGAGACTATGGATTACTGGATTACTTTTATGATGGATGGATGCATGTGTTAATTATTTAAATACATGGCATACAAGTATTTATAGAAATTAGATTGAAGTTTATTTTAGTTTTCCATAAATACTTTAATACATTAAAGTATTTAACACATTAAATAATAACACATTAACCATATTTCATTATCAAGACTATATAAAAAATTACTTAAAGATGTACTTAAGTCCTATTTGATGATCATGATGATGATATCTGCCTCTTGCCATGCTTTCCGATCTTCTGCAATCTAGTGTGACTCTGGATGGTGTTGAGCCACTGTGTTTTTTTTTTTGTTTTTTTTGGCCTCTTTTCCTATTTAAGTAGGTAAAACTGCACTGTAAGATCAACTAATTGCAATAAATACAACACAAAACATTGATATGATGTTGTGATTAATTTAAGTGCATGAAAACAGTACATTCTGTAAATATTCTTTTAAAGCACATTATTTCCATAATAAGTATTAATTTTAAAGGTATATGATAGTGTGTACATATTTTTCACAAGGGTTCTCAAAAAAAGTGAGCAGCATTGACGATTATTCATAACTTCTGAACAGAATATGGCTGTAATATTTTCCTTGTCCCCTGCATCCAGTGGTGGTGCATTCAAATCTCTCTCATGTCTTCATATAGGCCTAATGACTTCAGGATTTGAGCAGCCAGGAAACACCTAGTCCCCACATCCCCCCATCAGAAAATAAGAGGTGAGAGAAAAGCAGACGATTAATGAAGATTTTAATGCTGTCGTTTAGAATAAGCCAAGTTCATTGTTCCGCAGTCTCCCACAATAAAAGCTTAAATGAAGCGTGCTCACTGGGGCTATGCATTCGTTCAGAGTAATTGGTGGCGTCTTTGAGAGCGCTTTGAAGCAGCTGACCTGAACACTCAGCCCTTGTTAAGAGAGGCCAGCGGAAGGGAAGCCAGCAATGCACCTTCAGTGAGTTTACATCATGACCGTGAAACTGCTTGATTCCGAAACATTTGCATTTTTATTAAAAGAAAAATGCAGATGATGTGGAATTTCTGGATGATAGGAAAGAAGAAAATGTGCCTTATAATCTTATATGACTTATATGCCCCAGTGGTTGATTTTTATTAAAGCTAACAGGTTTCAACTTTTTTTTCTTTTGGTTATATGAAGTTCCCTTAAATATTTGAAGGTTTTCACCATGCTTTCATATTTATTTATTTTCAAATGACTTGCATTTTTATTTTATTACCCTTGTTCTAGAAAAAGACTTTTCATCTTAAATCATAAAAAACATCATAAATAATTGTAAAACTATTGTGACCAGAGTGTTTGTTTTGGTTCTCACTGTTTCCCCTGCCTTGTTTGTTGTCATCCGTCACTCAGTTCAGGTGTGTGTGTGTCTATGTCTAATAATTCTTGTTTGCCATTTAAGTTCCCTTCTTTCTCTTCATCAGTGTCGGGTCTTGCCAATGTTTGGATGTGTGATAAGCTATTCTCTTTATGTGGATTTGCCTGTGGATTTATAAAAGACTGCCTTATTACCTTCATCTTCATGTTCGTGTGTGTTATAGCAACACAATCCGTGAATGACCTAAACATAAACGTCATATTATTTTGATTCATAGATAATTTCTGGATTAGTGTCACTGCCAACAATTTTTTTTTAGTGAGTGTACTTGGTTACCAAGGGAACAATAGTGTCAACACTTGACTGTTTTGAATGTTCACTTGTAGTGTTCTTCAAATTTTTAAAGTAGCTATACAATCATAAAAAAACACCTAGAGTACATTTTTAATCAGTTTTAACACACTTAAGTACAAATGGACTTTGTAATAATATAAAATTAAATGTTTTACTTTAAAGTACATTTTATATCATGGTGTAAAAAAACTTGTGTCATAATTAAAATAATTACACCTTTGATGTGTGGACTAACAAACTAAAGCACATGTAAAGTACTTATAATTGTACATGAATGCAATCTAGACGTGTAATGAAATAAGTATATTTAAATACAGGACAATAAAATAGAAATTAAATTGAAGTATATATTTTTATTAATTATATTTTAGTATATTTCATAGACAATAGAAGTATGAAATAAAATAAAGATGGATTTTTCCAAAAATGGAAAATCAGTCATCATTTACTCACCCTCATGTTGTTCCAAACCTGTTTGAATATCTTTCGTCTGCTGATCACAAAATAAGATATTTTGAAGAATTTAACTAAAAAGGTAACCAAAAAGTTGATAAACAGCAAAAATAGAATGGAAGTCAATGGGGCCCATCAACTGTTTGGTTAAAAATTCATACAAGTTTGGAACAATATATAAGTCTGAGTAAATGATATTAAAAAAAGCACTCTAAACTTCAGCTAAGTTCTTTTAATATACATTTACTCTAATACATTTTCATTTGATTGCAATTGACATGCAATCAATTACGTATCTGAAGTGAACATTTTTGCATTGTAGGCTATTTGATATTACCAGGGTCTTGATACTAACACACCTCTCCGAATTATAAATGAGCAAAAGTTAATAAGCGACACAGGAAAAATGCCTGCAAGTCAAATAATGCATTTTCAATACAGACCTCTCATGTTTCCATAAAATGTGCAGTTTAAAAGGGAAACACCTGAATTATTAGTTCCATTGATATAATGTGTTAAATATTTAGTGTGCACATTTTTAAAACAATATATATACGCCTACAACAAAAATGTCAGGGAAAAATCATTTTTATTCATGTGCCACTAGGTGGAAGCACATTCAAACATTTTCCTCATCTCTATTGTAGAAGGATTTCTTTTGGTTTGGCATTTTAAAACCTTGTTGCATTAATTATGTCCTTGTCGATCAAGCACTTCTTTCATCACAGTGAAAACATCTGTATACAAGCATGTTCTCACTACTTCCATTCCAAAGGTATTAGCGTATTATAATTGTGTAGCCTATTATATAGGCCTATATATATATTGGAGTAAACATTATATGTTCCTGTTATTCTAGTGTGTAATTTCAAGCCATAATATTTGTCTAAATATGTTTTTAAGATCAAGTGGGTTTAACGGAGTAATACAGGGACAAAATAAGCTTTTTTCTTGTAAAATCATTAATAATTCAGAGCTGGTTCTTCTCATTTTCCTCTGTTTCAGCAGATGATTGTGTGTTTTTGGGAATGAGTCCAGATCAGCCTATGTGCAGGCTTTGGCCCACAGTCGTCCTTAAGGAATTTGGCCACAAGCTTTTACAGACATCATTTGCGAGAAAATGGATTTCAGGCACGGCTCAAAAGTGACACTCAGTTGGGCTATTTGCCAAAAGAAGCTCTCGTTTCTTCCCAATCCCCCAACACATGGAAGCCAGCGATCACCCCAATGACACACGAAGCCTCTTTTATTTCATTAAAGCATAAAACGGAAGTGGCGATCGTCTTTTCTTCACTATTAGCCGATATAAATGAAACTGCTTCTCGAACAATTAGAAAATGTAGGGTCTAGGTTTTGTCCACTGGGAATTGATTGGATGGTGCTTGTTTGAGTGACATCATGTGAGTGACAGGTTTCCCGCCCTAACGACAGTAAACACGTCATTAGAGAAGAGATGTCGAAGTTATTTTGATTAAATATGATTCCACGTGAATAAACAAATAATGAATGTGCACGGATAAATCATTTATAATACATACTGCAATGTTCCATAAAAAAGAAAACATTATTCCATGGTGACTTTAATGTCATCCTCAAACGCATCCATATGATTCTTTCTTTCTTTCTTTCTTTCTTTCTTTCTTTCTTTCTTTCTTTCTTTCTTTCTTTCTTTCTTTCTTTCTTTCTTTCTTTCTTTCTAAATTAATTAATCTTCTCCATAATTAAATAGGTATAGCCTAATATCAATTTATTTTGATCATTTATTTATAGCCTACTAGGCTACTAGAGCAAAGCAATTCACCTATCACGGGAAACGAGGACAGCAAGGGGAGGCGGGAGCGGGCGCCATGGCAACGCCCTCAAACCAATAACGTAAAGCGACGAAGGACGTCGTAAATACTGACGGTTTGATGTTGGAAAGAGTCGGTCGCTGTGGATCGTTGTTAGTGCTGGAGATCAGCAGCAGTGTGTGTGGAGACCCCACTCGATCAAACTCTAGCTCTCCGAAGACCGGGAAAAGAAAAACAGTCCTGCTTCAGAAGTCTTGTGAGGGCGAGTGATTCATATTAGAGACTGAGAATTAGAGGCTTCACCACTGTTTATGTCTCTCGCTAGGTTGCTAACTGGCTGATCCCCTAATGGAAAGAACATCTGAGTTTGTTTGACGTGAGTATGTGAGCCGCTGAGCGTCTGGATACAATGTTTTTCGTGTGTCTTTTATCGGAGCGTTTCACGCGCCACAGAGTAAAAGCAGCGCGAGCGCTCTATCCTGAACAATGATTCAGAGTAACCGATCCAGAGACTCACTCCTGCAAGACTGACTAAAGAAACTCTCTCTCAGGTTTGTTTCCTGCTTTCTTCTTCACTGTCCTGTTGAAAACGTATATCGTCCAGTTAGCTTTGTAGTTTCATAGTTGTAGCGAATTAAATTAAAACAAACTCTTGTTTCTGGACACAATTTTCATTTTCTGTCTTCAAGTCATGGAACACAACTGGAATTTCTTCATTTGTGATTTATTATTTCTATAGTGAATACATGTCGTCTAGAAGAGTGTCATCTAAATAATAATAATTAAAAATGTCTAATGCCAATAATCATTCATACTGTAAAACAATAACAATTTTCGGTTTAACTTAAAGTGAGTAACCTGTTTGCCTTACAATTTTGAGTTCATTGAATTATAACATTTGAGTTAATATAAAGGAGATTGGTTTAATCAACAGAAGCTCAAAATATTCTTTTTATATTAACCACATTTGATAACATCTAAGTTGATTTGACAAAAGAAAAAAGTTGTGATAAATCGCAAAAATATTCCTTTACAGTGCATTAATCACAAATGACTGAAAAGTCATCAAAATACATTGGTTAAAAGATTTGGGAGCCCACTCTAAATTTTCAGTGTTTTTTCTTGTTACACGGAATGAAAATGCGTTTCATAAAAATAATAAACGTGTGAGAGGTTTATGTAAAACTTAGAGTTCAATCTAATTAAAAAGACAAGATATAACGCAGACAAACTGATGTATCATGTCTTGCTCTCATCTTGTATTCTGAAACAGCACAGCTCAGGAGATCATGAAGTAGGTTTCAGATTTCTTGGCACTGATCTGACACTTGAAATAACATGATGGGATTCAGCTGCGGACCTCAGAGCAGTCTGAAAGATCTCTGGATTATAATGTAATTTACTTCGCATTAACACCCATACACTTATCGATTAAGCCAAGACTTTTCAAATGTATGGGTACATGTTGTGTTTATCCTATTAAATGGCCATATAAAGATTTTAAGTTAAATGTATGAAGGTGCTGTATCAGGTCTTAATTAATTTCTTTGAAGTTTTAACACTGTTTTTAATTGTCTTTTTAACTTCACTAGTCTAAGAAGTTCTTCTGTCAGGACTCAGAGTGTGAGAAAGCCACACCTGTATATGATAAACCACCGCTCACAACATCAAACTCACCATCAAGTAAAAACCTTTTATTAAGCCTTATTTTTAACGACGTGCATCTGCCGTAATCCCCAATTTATGAGAATCAAGACTTTAAATGGGAGTCTTCATGCACCCTTCTTAATGAAGTAAAGACATCAAGTTGGTGGCTGACAGAAAAAAAGGTCTGGTCGCGTAGTAATTGTGAACACAAGGTGGTCATTGTGTCCGATTAACTGTAGCATTTGTTCGATTGTCTCTATACAACACACTCATTTGCCTAAAGATCTTGCTTGCTTTGGGATTAGTGTTATTTCTCTTGTAGTTGCCTCAGAATATCTAGAGCGAAAGCCTTTAGAGAAACTCGAGGTGTAACCACATCATAGGGTTTAAGATTCATATGTCAATTTTGAATGAGAATGTGGTTAATCATTAATTTAGAGTGGTTTTTATTTGTTAGTGTGTGAAAGAAAATTGGTTTCCATTCATCATTGTCTGTGCGGATTGCTGGATTGAGGCGGCTCAGTTGTGGATGACTGTTTTTGTGATCAAACATTATTGACTCCTGCAGTCGATAACCTTGGCAACTGCAGTTCTTCACCCGGACGCCTGCAGCTCAGCATGTGCAAAGCTAATGACAAGGCCATTGTGAAATGCTTAATGTAATGGGAATAAAGTTAACAAAATGCATTCAATACGGTCTCAAACTTGGAAAAAGTTTTATGGATTAGGGCCTGGCTAAAAACATGTTTTTTTTTTCATACTGTTTTTTTCATACAGCATTTTAGCAATCTCCATTTATCTGAATTATTTAAAACAAGTTAATATTTGTTTCTTATTCAATCAGAGGAACTATCATTAGCCATTGTTGCCATTCATACAGTTGGCATTTAATGAGAATTTTCTAAATGCATTTTATTGATCTTACTGTTAACAATTCATCCATACACCTACAATAATAATAATAATTTGTTATCTTAATATTTTGGTGATACAACATATTTCTTTCTGGTGATGTATGCCATACTTTTCCAATCATAAACAACAATAATAACCTACATATGTTCTTACTAAACATTTAAATGGGAAAAACTCTGCAAAGTGACTTTTGTGAATCATTGAGTTTTGTGAATCATTGAACTTTTGAAGGATTAACTGAAATGAACTGGTTAATGGACTTACCAAATCTAGAATTTTTGCTATTGAAATTTAAATCAGTGACATTTTAAATTGGTCTTTACCCGTCTTAAAACATTTGTTTTAACACCAACTTATTGCTTGGCTTGACCAGAAAAAAAAGGAAATATTGTGACGCTAGACTTGGTCTACATGAAATGGAACTCAGTATTAACTCCATAAAAAGTATAACATGATGACAGGATTGGAATTAATTGGGACGCTAGTCTTTAGGAAACTTGGTCTACACATGAAATGAAACTCGGTATTAACTCCATGAAAAGTATAACATGACAGGAATGGAATTAATTGGGATGTGAAAAAGATGGCGTTCTGTACCAGAATGGGATCCAGGTGATCCGGAGCCTCATTATGATTGGGAAGCATGATTTTTTTTTGGAATAATATACTCTGTTGCAGTATAACCAGGAATGTGATTTTAAAAAGTAGTCCATTTTGATTTCTTACCCTGACGTCAAGGGGAAAGTATATTCATTACTAGATTCACAATGTAGCATCAGGAGCAAAATTCAGTGCTGGCTTATCTATTCCTAATGCTCTTCGTTCTTCCTCGAATCCAGCTTGTTTATTTGCGTTGACTGTTCTGGTACTGTTCAACCTTTTGTTTTGGGACACTGAGCTGCTTTTCGGTGTAAAGCAGTGTTCAGTCGCCCTCAGGCCCGGGCTTTCCTATACTTTCCTTCCCTCCCTGAGCGTCGGATGAGAGGGAGTAGATACTTTATGGGTAATGGAGTGGTAATTCAAAATAGAGGCCTGTGGGCAGGATAAGGTTTGTTGGAAACAAACATTTCATCAGAGAAGAGAGTGAATGTGTCGTGAAAGTGAAATGAATTTGAAAGTGAATTTGTGAATGAGCTTACTGTTGTTTCCCAAACTGTTGTTGTCTTGTATGCCTCTAAAGCCCCATTAGCTCTGGCTCTAATACACCTTAATTAACACCAAACCAGCAACAAGAAAATATTTTAGCATTAGCATTAATCGAACAATTAGTTGCATACATTTACCTCTTGTCAGTGTCTTTGAATTGGATATTCACACAAAGTTATGTAGTTTTTGTTGTGTTGCCAATGTGAATTGACATTTGTAACTCATTTTACTTCAGTAATTTGACTGATTTCAGTGGAAAAAAAAAAGGCTAATCCATGAGGGGTAAAAAATAGGGCTTAGCTGTAGGTCATAATTTTACCCACCGCCAATTGATTGGATTGTGAAAAATGGAATTTTAAATTTTATATACATGTGGAATAATATTATGCAGCGACTAAGAAAGGGCTTACTTTATGACTTAACTACAAAAAGTAATAATTGTGATTCAACTATTTTAAATTATATATTTTTCGGTTTTATGGGTTTAACAAAGCAAGGTAAATCTCCTCTTGGAACTATAGAAGAACCCCCTGGGGAACATGTACCCACGGTTTGAGATTGTTAAAGGCTTTTAGTGACCTAAGTTATTCATTTACCTGAGTGACACAACCTACTTGGAAGGTTTGTAATTCTGCTCTATTTTTCGCTTTGCATGAATCTTGATCTGAATCATACCCCCACAGGCTTATCCTACTGAAGTCTGAAATGAGCACTACAAATGTCAAAGTGAAATCTTCAGCAGGAACCTTTGCAAAATGCGTTTGCTTTCCCCACCAAACCTTTCAACATGTCATTCATTTAAAAGAGGCCCCTGCTTCTTGAAATATTATGATTGAGTTTCCATGACACTGGGTGGACATGGACCTGACTGCTGGAGCGAGAACTCCTTAATCTGGTGCGGTGTGAGGCAGGCAGCTCGTGCAGTGAAGCTTGTTTGCTTTCGCTCTGCCAATCTGTACTCAAACCAATGGCAGTGCATCACATAGAGCATGGCTTTCCTTGACTGCCTCATTTTTCCTGAAGAGAAATGCACACAGTTTATCTTTGTCTCTGCTCAGTGAGTGAAAAACCAGGGATGTCATTCTGTTAAATGGCACGCAGAGATCATATCATGTTCAGTTGTTTTATGAACATTCGGTAAATCTAGTCCTCTGTAATAGGCAGTATGCACATTCTTCTTATCAAGATCTGTCTTGGCCTCTTCCTTCCACTGCATTCCAAATTACTTCCCAGGTGCCCACCTCCTAATTGCTACTATTCACATAACCAGTCTAAATAAATCTTTCCAATAGTTATGTTTTGTCCTCATCATTGTCTGTAGTTATATCCATCCAATGTTTATGTCCATGGAACATTAAAATATACCATGTGTTACATGCCCAAAACACAAGAGCATTTGCAGTGGTGCAGTAAAGCCAATTGGCTTCAATATGTCCCTCTCAGCACAGGAAATAAAACTGTGCTTTTTCAAATAATTTCATAGAATCTTTAAGTGTAATGTTGGATAAAACCAAAAAGAAGAAAAACAAAACACATTTTGTTCCATACAAATTAAACCTATTTTTAGGACCATTAAAATGTTTCACATTGGCAGTAGAACTTTTCTAATGAGATTTGCAAATAAATTAATTACGTTTTAAACATCCAGGCAGTGAAAATTTGCTGAGAAAATTTTCTTAATTGGCAGATGTCAAAATGGCAACAAAACGATGCAAATTATGATTTGGCTTTGATTTTGAGTTGAAGGGCCCTATTTTAACGATCTGAAACGCAAGTGTCAAAGCGCAAGTAACTTTGTGGGCGGGTCCCGGCGCTGTTGCTATTTTCCCGGCGGGATAAATGCCTCTTGCGCCTGGCGCAAGTCTAAAAGGGGTTGATCTGAAGTAGCTTCATTATTCATAGGTGTGGTTTAGGCGTAACGTGAAGTAAACCAATCAGAGCGCCATCCAACATACCCTTTAAGAACAGGTGCGCTTGTTGCATGACGGATTGTTATTATAACGGCGGGTTTACCAGGCGCGCACCAGGAGCGTTCACAGCCGATGAGACCGACATTCTTGTCAGGGCAGTTAAAAGACAGAGAAGTGACGTTGTATGGGGATGGGAGAAACCCCCGCACATCAGCGTCGGTTAAACATTATATACGTATGTTTCTTGCCACTATTGGGCAAACAGGTCTGATCCTTTAGTAGCCTATGAGTACAATAAGCCTTAAAATTGGTTATAAGGTTTTTTAATCTTCATGTAAACCACAGATTTCCCTCATGTGTTAATATATTTCCTTGTTATAATGTATGATTAGCAAAAATAAAAACTGCATCTGTGTTGATGAGAGAATCAAAGTGTATGCGCGTTATGCACCCGCTACATTATGGCCAAGCATGCGCACTTAAAATAGCATTATGAACAATGCGCAACGCGCCACTGGCTTTAGAACAGGTTTTTTCTGGTCAGTGGCGCAAGCACCAGGGAATGTTTGCGCCGAAACACGCATCCTTTTTGCGCCTATCCGCCCAGGGAGCGGAAGTTCATTTCCTAGTTTACCGACGTGCGACTTTTGAGGGAAAAATCCAGCTTTGCGTGCATGCAAAATAGGAATGACGCATGCGTTTGTGCGGTCATTTGCGCGGGGTGCAAGGTAGAGCCCGAAATATGTTCAGGGCATGGTTTAGTGAGATTTGCCCTTAAACACTACTGTCTGATAAGGGTGTTTCAGGACTGATATGAGTTATAATTCCTGGTGTAGATCTCCCCCCGAAACATAGGAACCCCCCCCCCCCCCAGCAACTCCGATCTCACTAGGTCAATTAAAAAGCACAGAAATTCGTCAACATGCTCGCTAATCACGCTGACTCGTCTACTAATGAGCAGAGCTCTCGGAAGCCATCGCTTTTAATAGGCATGGTGTAATGAGCTTTAATTGAAAATTGCCCTTTTGCATGGTAAGCGTTCATATAAAGAATTTGGTGCTAAGGGTCTGATTTCCAGCATGGAAACTGTTCTTAGGTGGTAATGTAATAGCCTGTTTTAACACAGTATAAATGTGACTGAGTATTAGCTTAGCAGTACTTGCAGGTGTACGCCTCATTTGTCTGATTTGCATGTCATGTCTGCTTCATCAGTATCAGTGGCACCCCTGCTTAAGACACATTCACATGGTGCTATACCGTGCTGTTCCACCTCCCCACATTATCTTGGTGACACAAGGCTTTTTCAAAGAGAAATCTTCAAAGAGAAATTAACTTACCAGGGCAACTCTGATCAAAGGTTAAACTATGCTCAGCATGACTCTACTGGTGACACACAGAGGAGGGCATCTTTTTCAATGTAGAAAGTCTGTCTCACTTGTTTGTGTTTTTTATCACCTGCAAATCAATCACAGAACATTTGCTTTTATTGTTGACGAGCAGTTTCATGAACCGTTTCTTTAACATACTTTGTTTCAAAGAGGCCATATCTTTTTTTTTTTTTTAATTTTTAATGTTTGTTCAATGTTTTAAAACACTGCTTTTATTTCTCTTTTTTGCGTTATTTTTATCCGTAGTTGTTAGGAGTTATTCTGAGGGAAATATGAGCCAGCACAGTCTGGTACAGAGTGTCTTGCCGTTTATTGGTCTGGCAGAAATCCATCTCGTTACAGTTCGGAAAGCAATGTATTCGCTCAAATGACTTGAACATTTCCAATTTGTTAAACATTTTGAAACAACACAAAATCTTGGTTTTGCTTAGAGGTTTAAACCCTTGGAAAGGAGAAATTCCAGGTTTGGAGAAATTGAAAGTAGCTGTTCAAATAGTGTAAAGTTGTTCTTGATAGGAAATTGGTCTGTTGTTTTATTCCATGCTGTAGCCTTGGTAGAATTACAACTTAATGTAATATGTTTGCTCTTTCTGTGTGCTTTTTTGCAGGCAAGCTTTTTATGCATTGGCACAGTGTGCTGCAGAGCAATGGCTATGAGAATGTCTTAGCCCAGTGAGCACTTGCAAGGGGGGACTCTGCTTGTTCCTCCCCCTATGGCAACTCCAGATTATGAGTCAGCACCAGTGATGGGGATCCATTGAGTCCTGTCCCTGACACTATTCATTGCCCTTTCCCCCTTTACCCTTTACCCCTACCCTGCCTGGCTAGTGCACGAACATGCTGCGCTTCCTCCCTCTCAAGCTTGGTCGTCTGTACCGGTGTCTGAAGCTTCTCTTTGTCGTGGGGCTGTTTGTCATCTTGCTGATGAACACGCACAACCTTTTCGCCTCATTCCAAAAGAACGAACTCACTGACCGAAGGTTCATAAACCTCAACAAGTGCCCAGCCTGCTTTGGCACCAGTTGGTGTCGCAAGTTCATGAATGGACAAATATCTTTCGAGACTTGGGGTCGCCTTCGCTTCCTGGATGTCTTCAATGTGAAAAACGTTTTCTTCGCCCAGTACGGGGAACCTCGTGAGGGTACGAGGAGGATTGTACTCAAACGGTTGGGTTCCAACCAAGAACTTACCGATATTGACCAAAAGATTTGCAAGCGGGCAACGGGACGGCCTCGTTGCGATCTGATCCAGGCCATGTACAAGACTGAGTTTGCCCGACTTAACGGAGACGTCAGACTCCTAACTCCAGATGTTGTGGAAGGCTGGTCAGACCTTGTTCATTGTCCGTCCCAAAGACTTCTGGACAGAATAGTCAGGAGGTACGCTGAGACAAAAGACTCTGGAAGCTTCCTTCTCAAGAACCTTAAAGACACAGAACGGATGCAGCTGTTGATGACCTTGGCTTTCAATCCGGAGCCCCTAGTTCTTCAGGTAGGTTTTTTTTTTTTAATGTTGTCTACTAACCCATCTCTCTCTGACAGACTCCCTAGGCCTGTAATATATCGTTTGTGTTATAAAAGCCAGATCATAACGTATGCTCTTGAATTGTCCTTGATAATTCTGCCAGCGGAATGGAACCTGTCAGTTTGGTGGGCTGCAAATAGGCTAAAAAAAACGCCGCTGTAAATTGTAGGGTGTGCTACTTTCCCTGCCTCTTTTTTTCCATTCCTGGCTGCATCTTATTTTGTAAGCCACAATTCTCGAGTTTGAAGTCCTGCCCCTGTAATCTAGAAGGACCTCAATTGGGAAGTGCTTAATTGCAGCCTTATAGTCCAAAGCTGGTGGATTTGTCTTGCCTTGATGCAATGCATTTTTTTTTAAAGAATTTTATTTATTTAAAAACTGCAAACTGTTAATGGTCATCTCCAATTTGTTTCTAAAACTTTGCTTGTCACCATAAGAGCTTGAAGACATCACAAAATCTGCCTTGCAGTTTAGTCTGATTTTCCTATTAGCACAGTTAAAAGGTATTTCACTTTCTATGTACTATTTGGCCTTTTTATATCATTGTTTTCTCTCTTGATGTCCCATTTTGATATAATGATAATAAGGGCAACTCTCTAGCCACTTTTCAATACTGATTTAAAATGCGACAATCAATTTCAATTTCAGTTGTCATTGACCACACGTGGTAAATGCCCAGAACGACAAAGTAACACAATCCCTGTGAAGACATTCAGTGTCTTGCTGACCTATAATCTTTCACAAGGTCCTGGCACCCTCTGGCATTTGCTAGACAAAGGGGAAGATCTTCCCAATCTATAAAATCTGATTAGGTGTGTGTGTGTGTGTGGTCCCTGTCATTCAGCACCCTCCTCTTTTGTCTATCTGTTTGTTTCTCACTCTCTGTTGCTTTTTCTGCAGTGCCCCTTTTCTGATATCTATGTAATTCCATCAAGTTTGTAATGTAATTACATATCAGATCAGAGAACCCTGGGATTTATCCAATCCCCAGGTCCACTTCCAGGACATCTCCTTCCGTCTATCTGTGATTCGGCACATAATTATTTTCTTTGAGCTGTTCCTGCATGTTTTTCAATACTCATAAATAGTTAATTCTATGCTGAACTTGTGAACCGTTGGCATGGGGAATCCTTTCCCCCTGGTAGTACTGGATAACCTAAACTCTCCAAGCACCAAAGGAGCATCCGGGAGACCCTGAAGGATGGCTTATTGCCTTTAGCTGTTCCTTAAACAAGAAACGCCTTAATGTTTCAGGAATAGACGGAAATGAGTGGTTGTGCGCCAGCTCATAAAGAATTGATGGAAACGATGCAGAGTGTATACCAAGCCTTAAAATATGCTTTTTTTTGTTTTATAATGCTTTCGTTTCCTTGTTGTTTCAAGTAGAAGCTTCTTTCTTTACAGAGTGATGGCACAGTGATGGGATTAGATCAGAATTAACATTTTTAATTATTCATTCATATACAAGGTTGTGGAAGCTGCTTTAAAAGCTTGACAAACTACAGTTTTATAATAGATAAACTACAAGGAAGCTACTTCTTAAAGGTATTTTGTTACTGTAGATGCTACTTTTAAGTACTTTAGTTTTACTTTTACTTTTTACTTTTAGTATGTGATATACATTTAAACATTGAAAATTGTTAAAATTGAACATGTTTTAAATGTTAAAGCTAATGAAGTGAAGTATAAGTTGTGATATTATGTTGCATAAATATCTGATAAATCTCAAATAGAATGCGTTTCATTGAGTTAATTAACCTGGTAACAAAGCGCTTCAGTTTGCTGGTGTTCATTCAGCTCTTCACTGCTAGCGCCCACTGCTAAAACAGCAATGCTGTTATTTGAAACTCCCAATTTTAGATGATTCTTTTTCAAAAAACTTTGCATTATTAATAATAACTAGCAGTTTTATTTTTCTTGTATGTTTTATCTACAACATTAAAACAATTATTGTCTGTGCATTGGCTATTAAATTTATAGCACATGCGTTTTGATTCTTTGTATGCAAGTAATGTTGTCCAATAACTTATTTGCAAATTGCATTACTTAAAGGCAGTAGATTTGTGTTGTTGTTTTTCTTTTTTGGTAAAGTTTCATAGTTTCTTACACTGGTTCAAACTAGGCTATGTATATGTTTGATTTATGTGAAGTCCTTGGAACATGCACTTCAACATAAGTGATATTTAGATGTACCAATATATATCAGTTATTGTGTTTTCAAATATAAAGAATTATCAGTATCTGCCAACATTTTTATCGGTGCATCCCTAGCTGTAAATAAGCCATCAATAATCACCTCATTTTCTGAATGAATTCAAGCAGAACTTGTTTTTCTCCCACAAAAATTCCCACTCCCACTTTATATTTTTGTAAAATACCATGACGCCATTTTACCACTTCTTTAGTTTCCAATCTACTCTGATGTTTCTGGCAGTAAAGTGGCCTTTTCTCTCAGCTGTGTGAGAAACTGGCCTGTTTTAGTTAGTGGAAACCAATCCTCAGCGCTGTTGTAAGGTTGGCCAACAACACTCTCCCCTTTTCTGTCTGCCGAAATCATGGTGCTGCAAGTCACGTGGAAAGCAATTCATCCCAAAGGAATAAATATTTTTAGAAAGCAATATGATGGCCAGAAATAATGAATAGTATGTGATATGTAAGGCCTTTGTTTTAAAAGGCCCATAGTCCTGCTGTGAAATGCAGAATCCAGCCATTGTTTATTTCACACTATTTACATAAACTATGAAATTTTCCTCTTTAACCCAGACAAATTTTAACCTTTAAAACCGCATGATACTTTGTTCTCTGCTAATTTCTCGAGTAGGTTGAAGAGATTCTGTGACCCACATTCTTTGCAGAGACGGTTATTAATTCACACACTTTCATGAGCAAACGTTCCCTGCATTTTATCTTCCGTCTGTGAAGCTGTGATGCATGAGGTCATGTTCGATATATGTAGAGGTTTAGGTGACCTTGCTCGAATTTAGCCAGGAGCCATGGTACTTTGTTAACAGCCCCCGCGTTAGCATAGGCTCTGCCTGCTCAGCCAGCTTGACAACAGGACATGACAGGCCTGCGGGGTTAACGCAGTCAAGGGTGCAGCACTCGCCTTCAGAGCGGACGCTTGTTGAGACACTCCTCCCTGCACCTGACATATTTTGTGAGTTCAGCTGGAGAAAAAGTGGCAATCCGCTACTTCTGAAAGCTCCCCCTGGATCGTGGAGTCAAATGAGGGCAGGGTTGTTGTTTTTTTTTTTAGAAAAAGAGAGCATGAAAACACATGAAAAAAACTAATGAAAAGGTTTCACACATAGCCAGTCAATTGCTTATAGCTATGTTTCTATCCAAAGTTGTGAATTTAACTTTTCCTGATAAGTGGGCACTAAATATAACTTGGAAAAGTAGGAGAAGCCACTGTATATAGCATAACGTGTTACAGATAAGATAATGTGCTATCTTGCTTTCGGAGGTAGATGGTGCTGTTTGGGAAAGCAGTTGTGTTAAGACAGTTCTGGGACGGAATTATATCGAACCACTTTGAGAATAGACAGTAGACTTTGGCTAAGGATGGACAATAGACAATAATAGACTTTGCCTAAGGTTTCAGAGCAACCAACAGCATTTCAGATGCTGAGCAAAAAGATCTTTCCACTGGTTAGTACAGTTACTGTATGCCATCAGCGGATCTAGGAAATTAAACGTAAATGTGTTTCCATCATAGTTTATGCTCATGTCTTCTAATCAGATTCAACATTTATCAAAATCAAATCACAATCAAATTAGTGCATACTTTTTTTGCACTAAAGGAATGACGTATGCACGATGGGAATGAACAACCTTCTTATGGACGCACATTGCAAAACTGGACAAAGGCGAACATTTGTAGTTTAAAGGTTTTTAATATTTATTTTTTCAGAAAATCATTGATCGTTTCACTAAAGACACTTATTTGTTGACTGAGGTCATGTGGAGCCATTTTAAGCTGTATTGAAGTTGTATTTTGCACTATTAACGTTGACTTGAATTAGGTGGAGTGAAATCCTGGAATCTTTTTCTCAAAAACTTGAATACCTCTTTGGCTGAAGAAAGTAAGTCATACATGTTTGATTGCCTGGGGTGAGTAAATAAGCTAGATTTTAACTATTCCTTGAACTATTCCTTTAAATTTTTATTTGCTGACCCTTTTGTCAAAAAAAAAAAAAAATTTAGTAGGGCTGTAGCGATGCGTCGACGTAATCGATTACGGAAATTAGTCAATTTGTGTAGAATGCGTCGATTCGTCACGCCGTTTGTATTCCTCAATGATGCCTTCCGGGCATGTTGAAAATCAGCCTTTATTACAAAATCGAGCTCGATCTAAAGTGAGGCTGTTTTTTAAACCGAGACCGAATAAAATGGTGCTCTGTAAAACTGAAATGACACAGGCCTACAACTTCTATGCAGGATCATCTGAAAAAACTTGAGACCGCAAAACGATGAGACCGCAGCGCAAGTATTTGCAGTATTACAGTGAAGTTTTACACGGCACTAGAATACGTTCGTCAGTCCTATATTTTGTGCTTAATATGGCTGTGTTCATACAGTATTCGGCTTTTTACAAGCTTCAGTTGTTGTGAGGCTGCGAAGTGATTGCTCAAATGTACTCTCTGCAACCGCTTACAAAGCATTAAACGATGTTGTTGGTTATTAATATCTCATGGATGAACTCACGCCTCGATTGGACTCACTTATTTAATAACGCGCTGTCAATTGTTGTAAAACTTCACGGTTAAATGGACAACCGTCTTTTTGACACTGTCGCTATGGTAACCGCTATGGTTAGCTAGAATGCAGTTGTGACGGATCATACAGCTTAATGAACATATGCAAGCAGCTACTTTAATCTCCTGACTGAACAGAACATTTCAGGATTCTCACTTGTGAGCAGTTGCTGTTGTAAATCCCCCAAAGTGACTTTTGTGATCCATAAT